CCGATATATTGGGCCGTTCAGGATCATTGCCAGGGTTGGCAAGGTGGCTTATAGACTAGAGCTGCCGGAGGAGCTTAGTCGGATCCACAACACTTTCCACGTTTCGCAGCTGCGAAAGTGCATTATGGATCAGGAGGCGGTGGTGTCGCTGGATGATATTCAGGTCGATGAGCACCTGAATTACGTGGAGAGGCCTGTGGCCATACTGGAGAGAAAGATGAAGATTCTGAGGAACAAGGAGATACCTTTGGTGAAGGTACAGTGGGAGCATCGGAGGGGGTCTGAGTGGACGTATGAGCCAGAGGCAAAGATGCAGGAGCACTATCCGGAACTGTTCACCGCGGCAGACTTCGAGGATGAAGTCTAGTTCAAGTGGGGGAGAATTGTAACGCCCCGATTCTCAGGTATTGAATTAATATAAGAATTTTCTTATTTTCAAGGTCTACTCGACGAGTTGGTTGCCCTACTCGTCGAGTAGCAGCGGGTTGGGTCGCGTGTTTTAGTGACCTACTCGCCGAGTCCATTAAGGGACTCGACGAGTAAGAGCTGGCAGATGAACTCTAAATTTCGGGGTTTTTCACCCTATTTAAGGATTACTTATCCCCCCTTAGCCTCTCTTACTGCTCCCCTCGAATCCAGAAACCCTAATTCGTGTTGTTCTCTTTATTGGTGTGCTTCTTAGCTTGGAAGAGGAATTTTGGTGAGGAAAGGTTTGAAGATCAAGAAGCTTTGAGCAAGGAACAGCTGGAGATCTGAAGTCCACCTCAGTTTATCACAATTTGGAGGTATCAAGTCATCACCTTGAGCTTCTTCTAGTTAATCCCCTTTCTATATTGAGTTTTGAGACCATTTTGGGCATTTGGTGTTGCATTTTGAGTGATGAACCAAGATCTGAAGTTGCAACTTCAGATCTAGGCTCATCTTGGCCCTTATTATCATAAAGTCTCAGTCTTTAGCATGTTGGTGGAGCTCTTTTGCCTAGAACCCCTTCTTTAGCTTATTTTATGTCATTATCACCTTGCATGCACGTAAAGTTTGCAACTTTACGTGATAAACATGCCTTGGGAAGCTGGATCTACTATATGGAGCCTTAGCATGGCTTAAAAAGCGTCTGTATGAATGATGGATTGAAGGGACTCGGCGAGTCGCAAGGTCGACTCGGCGAGTCATATGAAGATGGTCATGAACTCGTCGAGTTGATGAACAACTTGGCGAGTCCGATGAAGATTGCCTTGGGCTCGGCGAGTCAGTCGACTGACTCGGCGAGTCGGCTAGGGTTTTTCCCAATCTTTGGACATGTATGAACTCGGCGAGTTAAAGGAAAACTCGACGAGTCAACCAAGGATTTCACGACTTCTCGAGTTCAGGAAGGACTCGACGAGTCGGTGAACTACACTCGACGAGTCGAGTCAACATGGACTGTTGACTTTGACTGTGAACTTTGACTTTGACCAAGAGTTGACCAGTTAACTTCTGATGGCATTGTGGTAATTTGGAAATTTATGAAAAAGGGTTTTATGGTAACTATAGGTGTGGAGTTCGTGTTGGGGATCTGAGAATTGAGCTTTCTAGTTTCAGGCGACAGTTGCGAGGTGAGTTATCCTCACTATACTCAAGGGTCTAAGGCACCAAGGCCGGCCCTTCAGATTGTTATATGGTTATGTTATGCTAGTATGATCTGTTAGATCGGTGTCCTAGAGGGTAGGATAACATTATATGATATGTGGTAATACCGGTAGATGGGATGGTGTTATGTGCTATGTGGTATGATCCGTTAGATCAAGTATTGTCTATAGAATGTTATGTGATTATTTGTTATATGTGCACATGTTGTTTGGCGGTTGAGGCTTATCTGCTTTGTGCGAAAGCCAATAGACCTGGGCATTCCAACCTATTGGTTGTGGGCCGTGAGTATTCCATCCCGAGGATAACTGGACTCATAGTATGTGGGCATTCCAACCTGTTGGTTGTGGGCCTGGGGTATTCCATCCCGAGGATGATTGGACCCATAGTATATCGGCATTCCAACCGGATGGTTGAGGGTCTGGGGTATTCCAACCGGATGGTTGACTGGACCCATAGTATGCTGTTTATGATTATATGTGTATTGTTGCGGGTATGGGTATTTTGGGGGAACTCACTAAGCTCTTGGGCTTACAGTTTCAGTTTATTGTTTCAGGTACATCAGGGGATCGCGGCAAGGCGAAGGCGTGATCGTATAGCTCCTCATGTCTTGATTATGTTTCTGGGAAAAACTCTGATATTATACATTTTGAAAACAAAGTTGTAATGATTTTAATGGTTTGAAATGTTTTTAAAAGTTTAAATTGGCTTGAATTTTTCGGATGTTACAATCAGTTACATACATCTTCTTCTAGCATCTTTTTAATTGTGCATACATTTTAGTGAAAAAAATTAGAAAAAATACATCAATTTTAATTGGATTTTACCACTTCTATAATTTTGTATTCTATAGCTTTTCTATTTGTTCTAGAAAACTGATTAAGGGTGTGAAACAAGGTGACCCCTTGTCCCCCTTTCTCTTTATTGCATCTCTTTATAAAAGGGACGACTCAACCTTATATTTTTTTAAACTAAGGCTTAGGGCCCCCAATTCCAAAGGGACTCATATTCTTCAAACTTATAATCCAATATTAATATATCTCAAATCTCAATTAGTCGATTACTAATTTTCCAATAAGCCACATTACTTAGTGAGCGATCTTGATTCTTGAAGACGAAATGCATGCGACACATCAGTGTGATCTTGAAAAATAAAGCGCCACATTTATCTTCTACTCTTCTATCTCGGCTCTCAATTGTTCAAATCATCAACGCCAAACGGTATGTGTTTCACTTTGTTTCCAGTTTTCCATTATCCAAAGGGCCCTACATTTTTGGTTCGCTTAGAGCCCCCAACTGGTTGAGCTACCCCCGCTTTATAATTGTTATGGAGTCTTTAAATGCGGTCATGAGTAAAGCTTTTGATGTTGGTATTTTTCATGGGATTCAAACTCCCAACAATGGGCCTCGGAATCACATCTATTTTATGCCGATGATGTCATGTTCTTGGGTGATTGGAGTCGTGCAAACTTCCACAACTTAGAAAGAATCCTAGGATGTTTCAACCTTGCGTCAGGGTTAAAAGTTAATTTTTCAAAAAACAAAGTTTTGGAGTGGGAATTGGTGAGGTCGAAATCGCTTCTATGGCTAACATTTTGCATTGTCAACCGTCCTCTTTCCCGTTCACTTATTTGGGTCTTCCCGTTGGTGCAAATATGTGTCATAAAGAATTGGAAACCGGTTCTCAATAAATTCCAAGCAAGATTATCTAAATGGAAAGCTCAAACATTATCCTATGGTGGAAGAATTACTCTCATTAGATCTGTGCTTTGTAGTCTTCCGTTGTATTACTTTTCTCTCTACAAAGCTCCTTTAGCGGTTATTAATGCCTTGGAAAGAATCATGCGTAAATTTCTTTGGGGTGGCAATAATTCAAATTCGAAAATTTGTTGGATTGCATGGGATAAAGTGATTGCTCTTAAGTCTCTTGGTGGATTAGGAATTATGAGCTTGAGAATTTCGAATCTTGTTTTGATTTTGAAATGGCTTTAGAGATTAAAAACCGAACCTTCGGCATTGTGGGCAAAAACTATTCTTTCCATTCATCAAAGCAATAGATCCTGGAAGTTCTTCCCTATAGAGTTGTTGGTGGCAGGGGCATGGAAAATATTACAAGTTTGATTTCTGATTTCACAAATTTTGGCATCAACATTGCTGGTTTTTTCAAACTTTCAGTGGGCTGTGGTAACCGTACGTACAAGTTTTTGGCATGATTGTTGGAAAATTTGCAGGGAGAGAAATGATCGATGCTTTAACAATAGGTTCTCATCTACTGATCGGATGATTGCAGAGATAAAGGAGAATTCTTATATTTGGATTTCTTGTACGGGTAATCAAGCTGCAGTGGACTGGAATGCCCGAGTGCATTCTCCCATTCCATCTGGGTGATTCTTTTGTTTCGTCCCTTGTAATGTTATTTTCCCGCACTTGTTTCTAGCTTCTTGCTAGATTTTTTTTTCTAACAAAATCTTTTTCCGTTCAAAAACAAAATGAAACTGGAACATGAATATTTAAAGAAAATGTGAATTCCAAATAAACAAGTACAGTCGAACACATTCAGAAACAACATTAAGTCAATAATTGGAAAAAATAAAAAATAAAAAATGCTCTAATTTTACACAAGAATAAGGTAAATATTATAATAAGAGACCTCACACTCAAACTCTGAATGGGTGTTATATTTATGCAAAGGGTGTTATATTTATGCAAAGACACTAAGCATCATTGCCACTTTTCCATGGCTTGAGCACACCAACAACTACTAGAACAATAATAATGAGTAAAATCAAACTAGCAAGATTTAAACCGATAAAAAAATTTCTCGTCAATTTCTTTTTATTAACAAAATACCGAAAATGCACATTAGATCTTTTGGTATAATAAAGGTAACGAATCCAATCAATTCAATTGCAATTGATTCGATAACCAGAGTACGCATTGAAACTTCAATTGCTATCACATAAAAAAGACACATTATTGTAAGAAGCCAGAAAAGGACCAACTTAGTGGTACCCTTGGAACTTATTATTGCACCAGACCCAAAAGACTTCTAACCAAATCCGAACCCCCACCTGTCTAGCATAAAATCAAATATCCAGATCGACTAACCAGAGATCTGTTGCATATGACAAAATTCAAAAAAAGACTGAAATAACCTTTTTCCAAATTATTACACCACGACTTCAAAGTTCAAATTCCTTTCTAAACATTTCCTCTTATCTTTCTTTTTCCATTGAAACTAACCCAGAACCATGAAATCAACTCTAATACTGCCGAGATTTATATCCACCAAAAAAAGACCAAGTTGCCCTTTATTTGATATTTTGAAACTGTTGATCTTCCTTCTGAATTTAGTAACACCTTTATATATCATCAGATTATTGAACCACTTCTCCTCCTTCTGATAACCTTCAAACCACATAAGCAGACCCAAAGAAAGTCCATATCCAATCTTTATCATACTTCAAGTTGCAACTTTTAGTATTAACCAAAAAAAGACCAATATATGTGAAAAAGAATTCTCCAAGTCCAACATAAATTCACAAGAACATCACAGTGTAAATAAATTCTTGAATTCAAACGAGTCATGATGAAACTGACAATATTTGCGAATTCAGGCACCTGAATGGTGAAGCGTATAAAATATGTGGAAGATGGTGGTTTTTCTATGCTGGGTTTAGCCGGAGAGCTAGGGTGTCGATTTGAAGTAGCCGTACTTGATTTAAAATAGCTGTATTTGAATCAAACGATGAGCCGTATTAAACAACCTCTACACTTATTCGATTAAGATTTAAGTTGTATTAGATTTCAATTTCACTTTTTGTAGTACTAATCGTATTATATCCATGTATTAGATTAGTCTTTTCTAGTATTCGGTGTTCAGACAACACAGACAACATTACTGACGTACGTACATGGCATTTTCTTGGACATTAGGTTCTTTGATTTGTCATCCCGTTAATTTTAAACTATCCAACTCACCCACTTGATGAGAATAGACGGTTATATATTAAACTTGGAATATATCAACTTCAAATATTAAAGTATACTTCCATTCTGAGTGGTCCTAACGGTTTATTGTGTAGTTTTCAACAAGCTTGGTTTAAAAATTTTGATGTCTGGAAGTTCCGATGTGTACTTGCCTTGCTGCTACTGTATTTCCTTGGGTTTAAGGTGAATGAAAAGGTTTATGCTTTTCTTGTTGGTTTTGATTTAACTCTTTATTACATTGTTGATTCAAATTTTTTGATGATCCACTACAAGGAATGAGGCCTATACCGACGACTTTTACGGCACCTATGCCGACGACATGTCGTCGGTAAAACCTATACCGACGACTTGTCGACTGTATAAAGTCGTCGGTATAGCTCCGTCGGTAAAAGCCAAAAATGTCGTCGGTATAAATGTCGTCGGTACAGATCCACCTACGCAAACGACTTGTCGTCTATAAAGGATTGTCGGGAAAGATTTTCGAGATAAAAAAAAAGTTTTATTATAAATCTATACCGGCGACATGTCGTCTGGATAGGGAGGGCTATACTGACGACATGCCGTCGGGAAAAGTTTCCAACAGTTTTTACAGTTAAAATCTATACCGACGACATGTCGTCGGTATAAGATTTTTTATTTTTTTTATTTTTTTAATATTTATCACAGATTTGTTATATTTACTAAACCTTTTTTTAAAACAAACCAAATATATATGCAGTATATATCAAACATTTTATAACTATTACACTTGAAAATCTACTACATAGAAAAAAAACAAAAAAAAAAACAAGTCTTCATGTTCAAAATAACAAAAAGATTAATCAAAATCTTCATTGTTCTCGTTTCCCCGGGCTCGTTGGTTGGTTCGGGGGTATTTTGGGTAAATTGTGACATTGGTTGTGGTTGAGATACTCCTTCCATCAAGAGAAGGACAAAAATGGACATGGTGAGATACTCCTTCCATCAAAAAGGGACACATATTCAATTTCTACTTAAATATCCAAATATCCTAATTAAACTTATGTTGTAAGTAGTCACCTCAAAGGGACATGGTGAGATACTCCTTCCATCAAATGAAGCACATATCTTGTAAGTTGCAAGAATCATTGGCATGTAGAAGCCACTGTCAATTTGGATGCAAGAAAACACATTCCGGTAAATCTGGGCATTTCCCTGTTAAGTAACAATATATATTACTTAATAAAGTTTGAAGAATATATATAAATAAATGGTTGTGCTTTTATTTTGGCATGTATTTTATTTATACCGTTGCAGTTGCCAGCCATAAATCTTTGTATGTCACATCAGCTATCAGGTCTCTAATATGACTAATCTGAAAGAAAAAAAAAAGAGATCTTCTTCTCATTCACTTACTGAACAATTACAGGACTATTACATATATATACAAAGAATAATATTACACATCAAAACTTCTAACTAACTTGTAACAACTAGAAAATAGAGAATGACCAAACTACCCTTGGTAGTTAGAAACGATTGACTGTCATATTAGCTAAGTTGTAATACTAGCTAACAAATCATGCAAACAGTTTTACCAATTTATGAGACAAGTTAAATATTATTGCATTTCTTCTTTTTAGTTTGAGGAATAAAGAAATGAATGTAGATTTGTACCTCAGGAGTCCCTTTGACCAAGCAAACTCCTGTCATTTATGTTGGATGATCCAATTAAGGTGATATGATCGTCAACTATCATCACTTTGCTATTGACATACACCTGAAGAAGAATTCATTAATTAATAAGTTATAGTTCTAACAGTTGCTGCCCCACTCTTTTCAGGTATATAAACAACCTCAAAGTGGCTATTCCATGTTTTCCAATCCTCATCAGACTATAATACAAGAAATAGAAACCATCATTATTATTATTTTATTAATTTGTAGAATGTAAAATGCATTGAGAGCATAAACAAGTCCTTAAACATACATTGTTACGAAACAGATGAAATATTCTTATGAATCAAAAAGGTTAAAAGAAAACACTATCATACCTTCTTTCAAGGCTTACGTTCAGTTCCCCATTTACAAGTATACCCCCAAAAACTGTATAAATCATTCCGGTTTCATCTAAACACACATTCCGGTTTAGCAATTAAGACTTTATACATCACAGTGAGCATAAACATAAGTCAATTATATAACATATCCCAAAAATTTCCCAAAACAGAAAAAAAAAAAAAAAGAAATCGGAACTTTACCTCAAAATCACCGGTGATATGAGTGGTGGTGAAGGGCCGACGATGTACATCGGAATAAGGTCACTGGAAGGAGATGTAGATGCCGATGGTGGTGAAGGACTGTGAAGGCCAACCAGAGAAAGAAAAACCCACCCAAAATTGTTGTAAATAACTTGAGCAATCAGTAACAAAGAAGAAAAGAAGGATTAAGAAGAATACCAGCTCGTCGACGGTAAAGGAGAGTCGCCGGAGGGGTAATTCTTCGTTGAGAGATCGACAGAGAAACAAAACACAGTTGTGGTGCAAATGAAGTCGATTGACTGAGATCTGCTAGGTTTAAACCCTATGCCGACGACATGTCGTCGGTATAGGGTTAGAAAAAACTACGTCGTTTCGATTTTTCCCATGTTTGATTTTTCACGCGGATCGCCAACTCTTATTCCGACCACATGTCGTCTGGATAGATATGCACAAAACGCCGTCGTTATTTTGTTTCAGCACAAACGAAAATAAATAAATCAAAATTATAAAATCCGTAACCTATACCGACGACATATCGTCGGCATAAGTTTTCAGTAGACGGCCAAAAAGTTTTTCGTTCCCGCCTAATCTATAGCAACTATAAGTCGTCGGAATAGAGTGCAGGTCAAAGATAGTTGGTCAAAGTTTTCAAAACCCTGTACCGACGACATGTCGTCGGTATAGCTAACCTTTTAGCGACGACCTTTGTCGTCGGCATAGATGTCGTCGGTAAAGGATGCTTTTCTTGTAGTGATCGACCAATATTGTCGATATTAAACATATATAGTCTTTGCTAAAGTCATATATGAAGTCACCAAATTGCTAGTCGAGCAATTAAATTAGGGTTATAATGTGACAATCCATTAAACTTTATGAAGTTTTGGGTGGCAATGGCTTCCATTGGGACAAATACTTCCATTTTTTATATTCGTCTAGGGAGAAAGTAAAATAACAATTGGGTGAATACATTATTCCGCCACAACAAGGATAGTACGTCAGAATTATACTTTGTAAACATTTAGTGCAAAGCTCCTTGGATAAATCAGAAGTACACTGCATAGCCCCATATATAGTTGAATTATTAGGCGGAAAAGTTATCGTCCCAAATGCAGCTTTTTTATCGGTACGGCTGCTTCCCCCTGTAACCTCGTCATCAAATCAATCACACCTTTGTCAAACTGAACCTTATTAAAAATAGTTCCTAAACCTGGTGAAAGGATCCAAACCCAATCATCTTTGACTCCAATTATTTTTCGATCTGAGTAACGTATCATACAATCTGAACCCCACATCACACCTTCCTTTTGATTTGGGCATTTGGCTTGAAGTGAAGTAGTCAACCTCGTTATACAGTCATTACAGTTTCCACCCCATTTGATAGCAACACTGGAGCAAAGGGCGACAGCATAGGCTGCTTCCTTCGTGCCAATGGATGAACTGAAAGATCCGCCACTATATTTTTTCACCTTGCCAACGGCATCCAATGCGGCTTTGAGGTTTCTGCTATAATCAGAACTTGGTGTGTAGTTGCCTGTGTTTCTGCATCTGAAGACAGGCTCTTCAGGGAATTGAGCTGTGGTGAGATTTACAGCGTTGATGATTGTTTGAAGAAGAAACACTATTGAAATTATGGATTTCATTTTTCGTTTGTTGATGAAGATAGTAATTAATGTGTGGAGGTTATTGTTCTTATACCCCAAATTACCAAAATCAATCGTTGTCAAACGTTAGGCATCGTCAAGTAGAGTACGTATAATTAATATATTTCTTTGGTTCTTGTAAATGGGTAGGTACCTCAAAATAAAGTTTAACTTGTATACGGATTTAATTCTTTAACCAAAGGTGATGGGAGTGGAGGTTTATTTATTTATTAATTTTTTTAAAAAAAATCTAAAAATAGATTAATTTTATTATTATAGCATATAGGGAAATTTCCAGCTCCTACTCCTAGATATCTCAAAACTATTGAAAAATATGTCTTATAGCAAATTCCATCGCTAATTGATATTTTTGTCTCTGATTTCTTTTTTCTCTCGTTTATCCATTTTCCCTCTCTTTTCTGATATCCCCATAATTCTTTAAAACAAAATATTTCTTCACTTTAGTTTCTCCCTCAACAATCTCTTATGTTTCCTCCCACCTCAAACAAACCACTGAAGCTATAGAGGACGAAGAAGAAAGTGGGCGTACAAAAAATATTTTGTAGTTCTATTTTAAGCATCTTGATAGAATTCAAATATTAGTGTCCTCTACTGATCAATTGAAAACATGTGGAAATGTGACATTCATAGATTTGAAGACTTGGAAAACAAAGTAGAGGAAGCAAAGGGAACATGAATGAAGCTTGCAAATCAGTTGTGTAATGAAAATGAATTTAAATTGAATTTAATGGTATTTATAAGAGATAATGAATCATTTTATTGTTAATGAATCATTAGTTTAATATGAATCCATTAGTTGTATTATGTCGAAGCACTTCTTTCATTACTTTTCATGCGTTAATTAACATAGCAATCATAGAAACAGCTCATGGTAAAAGAGAAGAAGCAATGGGAAGAAGAAGAATGAACCATCAAAAACTGTTGCATTTGGGATTTGAAAGGATAGGTGTAAATCGTTTCACACTTAAATTAATCATTACTTTACCAATTAGGTATTTGATGATAAAATTTTCTTGAAATACAATGGAATGAAAATGTGTTGCTAAAATAGTGACTAAAATTACATCGCTGAATTTGTCGCAACTTTGTCAAAGATTACTCGCTTTGAAAGGAAATAATGATGGAAAATATTGATGCATTTTGTTTTTATGGATAAAAAATAATTTGTTTTTGAACGGCAAGACTAATATTAAAACTAGTGAGAGGCTAAAGGAAAACAAATTACATCCATGAGTCCGAAGGACAAGTCTTCAAAGTTCAAATTCCTTTCTAAACATCTCCTCGTATCTTTCTTTTTCCAGTGAAAATATCCCAGAACTATAAAATCAACTATAACACGGCCGAGATTTATATCCACCAAAAAAGACCAAATTGCCCTTTATTTGAATGTTTGAAACTATTGATCTTCCTTCTGAATTTAGTAACACCTTAATACCGGTCCTTCCAAAGAATGAAAGAAACATAATCCATGGTATTCTACAATCTACTATATCTCATGAGATTATTAAACCACTTTCTCCTCCTTCTGATAACCTTAGAAGCACATAAACATCCTTTTAACAAAATTCAAATTTTGCATCTAATGAGAACAACCCGATTAAATTCAGCAAACCCCAATGAAAGACAATATCCAATCTTTATCGTACTTCAAGTTGCAACTTTTAGTATTAACCAAAAAAGACCAATATATGTAAAAACGAATTCTCGAGAACATCACTGTGTAAAAAAGTAGAAAAAAATTTGAACCCATTTTGAATTCAAACGAGTCATGATGAAACTGACCATATTTGCGAATTCAGGCATGTGAATGTAGAAGCGTATGAAATATGTGGAAGATGGTGGTTTTTCTATGTTGGGTTTAGCCGGAGAGCTAGGGTGTTGATTTGAAGTAACCGTACTTGATTTAAAGTGGTTGTATTTGAATCTATGTGAGTCGTATTAAACAACCTCCGCACTTATTTGATTAAGATTTAAGTTGTATTAGATTTCAATTTCACTTTTTCTAGTACTAACCATATTATATCCCTATATTAGATTAGTCTTTTCTAGTATTTGGTGTTCACACAATAGACAACGTTATCGACACTACATGTCATTCTCTTGGACATTAGGTTCTTTGATTCGTGATCCCGGGGAATTGACATTTAATTTTAAGCTATCCAAGTCACATAGGTAATGAGAATAGACGATTATACATTTAATTTGGAATATACCAACTTCAAAAATTAAAGTATACTTCCATTCTGAGTGGTCTAACGGTTAGTTTTCAACAAGCTTGGTTTAAAAATTTTGATGTCTGGAAGTTATGATGTGTACTTGCCTTGCTGCTACTGTATTTCCTTGAGTTTAAGGTGAATGAAAAGGTTTATGCTTTTCTTGTTGGATTGGATTTAACTCTTTATTACATTGTTGATTCATATTTTTTTGATGATCGACCAATATTGTCGATATTAAACATATAGTCTATGCTGTTGTGTTCCAGCCTCCAAAGCCTCCAAAGCTACAGTAGCCATCATTGTTGACAAAATGAAACCTACGGAACAAGTTTTTCTTCCCACCCTATGATGAACACAATTAATGAAGACAACTACAATGGTGGCTTCCAAGACTATAAATAATTCTTCAGTTGTATGCATCCCAAACACAGATAGTATAACACTTAGAGTGAGAGTGTTAGTGAGAGGGTTGGTTTTTTGTAATAGTTGAGTGTGAGAGTTACTCCTCCTATTGTAATTCTATTTTAGTGTTTAATAGAAGAGTTTTCCAACCCCACAACTGGTATCGAAGCTTGGTTTGGTGTCCAGGGAATTATTTACGAATTTTTCTGTTTTTTCGTCAAAATTTTTTTTGTCTCAAAATCAGTTTCTGGGCACAACATTAGAAAGGTCTTGTTTCAAGGATTTCGAAAATATATTTTTCGTGATTTTTTTGACCAGGGGAAGACCTCAAAAACGCCGGTCAAAGATTGGTCAAAATTGCCGGAAATATCGCCGGAAAAACCAGTCGCCGGAGAAGACGAGTGACGTCATCGCCGACGTCAGCGGTTGACCATAGTTCAGAAAAGTTGCGTTTTAGCCCCTGAAGTTCTAGAAAATTACAGAAAGGTCCCTCTGTTTCTGAAAAACGGCAGTTCGGTCCCTGTTGTTCGGAAAATAACTGTTTTGGTCTCTGAAGTTCTGAAAAGTTTCAGAAAGGTCCCTGGCTCGCAGAAACGTTTCATATTGGCCCCTGTAAGTTCCCAAAATTACATTTTAGCCCCTATAGTTTTGAAAAGTTACAAATTAGCACATAACTTTTCAAGAAAGTATATTTTGAGCCCGAAAAATTCTACCCCACCATTTTTGACGCTTCCGAATCCAACCGAGAGCTCGGTTTTATCTAATTTTTCCTCGAAATATTTGTAAAATAAATTTGCAATTATTTTCGATGGAATCTACAAGTACGATTACGATGGTTCGACTTACGCTCACAAATTACAACATGTGGAAGCCAAGGATGGAAGATTTGCTTAATCTGAAAGATTTAGCACAGCCTATAGAAAAGCAAGGCATCAAACCCGACACGAAGACAGACGAAGTTTGGACGAGAATAAACAAGAAAACGGTGGCACAAATTCGACAGTGGATCGACCACAGTGTTTTTCATCATGTCTCTCAAGAGACAGACGCGTACAAACTTTGGGAGAAGCTCGAGAATATGTATCAGGCAAAGACGACACGCAACAAGACCTTGTTGATGAGGCGCCTTGTAAACCACAAGTTACAAAGTGGTATGTCCATAACCGAGCATACGAGTCAGTTCCAGGATCTCGTAAACCAGCTCGGTGCTGCTGATTGGGTTCTCAAAGACGAGGAACAAGCCATATTGCTCTTGAGTTCTCTACCAGATAATTGGGAGACGCTTGTTGTGACTCTCAACAATTCTGCCCTCGGTGGTAAAGTGACAATGGAGATGGTCACAGATGCCCTAATGAACTAGGAAGCAAGAAGGAAAGGAGCTGCTACAGACCAGTCTTTTGCCCTCGTGTCAGAAAACAAAGAAAGAGGCGGGGGCAGAACTGGAGGCCGAGTTCGAGTTCGAGGTAGAGGTAGACATGGTCAAAGTAGAGGAAGATCCCAAGATCGAGGGAAATCGCGAGAGCGAGGTAAATCTTCAAATACATGGTTCGAAGGCTATTGCAATCATTGTAATTATTATGGCCACAAAAGGAGTGATTGCCGAAGGTTTTTACGAGAGCAGCCCGAGACAAGCCAGAATCCAAGCAGGGAGAATGGTGAAACCATGGTCACCATAACACAAGACGTTGCCCTTGTTACATACGAGGAGGAAGCATGCCTACATGTTGAAACTCATGATGATGAGTGGGTGATTGATAGCGCTGCATCATATCATTCGACTCCAAACCGAGATTTATTCACTACTTATAAACCCGGAGACCATGGTACCGTAAAGATGGGAAACACCAGTTTCTCAAGCATTGCTGGTATTGGTGATGTGCATTTAAAGACCAATGTTGGATGTACATTGGTGTTGAAAGATGTTCGACATGTCCCAGAGCTGAGAATGAATCTTATCTCAATTGGAGCTCTTGACGTCCAAGGATATGATAATCAATTCAAAAATGGCACCTGGAAGTTGTTGAAAGGTGTTATGGTTGTTGCAAGGGGACAACTTGGTGGTACTCTTTATAAAAGCCATGCAAATCTGCTTCAACCAAGTCTCAATGTTGTTAAAGAAGAGACATCATCAAACTTGTGGCATAGAAGACTAGGCCACATGAGCGAAAAGGGATTGACGACTCTTGCAAAGAAGGAGTCCATTTCAATGGCAAAAGACGTTGCCCTGGATCCCTGTGAATACTGCCTATTTGGGAAACAACATAGAGTTTCGTTTAGCTCCACAAGAAAGAACCGCTCTGAGTTGCTGAGCCTTGTCCACTCCGACATATGTGGACCCATTGAAGTAGAATCTCTTGGTGGAAGCCGGTATTTTGTGACATTCATTGATGATGCATCACGAAAGGCATAGCCATACTGTCTGAGGACGAAGGACCAAGTATTGGACCGCTTCAAAGCTTTTCATGCAATGGTGGAAAGACAAACAGACAAGCAGTTGAAATGTCTCAGATCAGATAATGGAGGCGAGTACTATTCCCGTGAGTTCTCTACATAATGCACGGAACATGGTATCAGACATGAAAAGACTGTCCCACGAACCCCACAACACAATGGTGTAGCAGAACGGATGACTCACACCATTGTTGAGAAAGTTCGATGCATGCTCAGCATGACTAAACTCCCAAATCCATTCTGGGGTGAAGATGTATTGACATATTGCTATCTAATAAATAGGTCACCTTCCGCTCCATTGAATTTTGAAGTTCCGGAGAAGATATGGACGGGTAAAGACATATCATATTCTCACTTGAGAGTATTTGGGTGCAAGGCGTTTGCACATGTATCAAGTGAATTGCGGAAGAAGTTGGACCTCAAATCCACTCCATGCATCTTTGTTGGATATGGAGATGAAGAGTTCGGGTACAGGCTATGGGACCCAGAACTAAAGAAGGTTATTCGAAGTAGAGATGTGGTTTTCTATGAAAACCAGTATTATGATTTCAAGGCACCGGTTAACAAGCAACAAAGCTCCAAAGTTTCAGATATAATATTTGAAAATAAAGATGATGTTTCCACTGAAGAAGAGGATGAAGAAGTTAATGATGCAAATCAAGAAGGTGTTGAGCAAGGGGAGCTTCCACCCCATGATACTTTAGATACATTTCCAGAAGTTACAAACGAAGGAACTCAAGTTAGACGATCCGAACGAGTACGTGCTCCATCAACAAGATATCCGACTTCAAACTACATCCTTCTTACTAGTGAGGGGGAGCCAGAGAGCTTTCAAGAAGCTCAATCTCATATTGACAAAGCAAATTGGCAGAAGGCCATGGAAGAAGAAATGAATTATTTGAAGAAGAATCAAACATATGAGTTGGTAAACCTCCCCAAAGGAAAGAAAGCCTTGAAAAACAAGTGGGTTTTCAAGTTGAAGAAAGACGGCAAGGGAAATACTATGAAGTATAAGGCGAGACTCATTGTCAAAGGTTTCCAACAAAAAGAAGGAATCGACTTTGTTGAAATTTTTTCGCCGGTTATGAAGATGATGTCTATTCGAGTTGTACTCGGATTAGTTGCCAGTCTAGATCTTGAACTTGAGCAGATGGATGTGAAAACATCCTTTCTCCATGGTGATTTGGATGAAGAAATATACATAGAGCAGCCCGATGGCTTTATAGTCCCAAAGAAAGAGCATCTCGTCTGTAAATTAAAGAAGAGACTTTATGGTCTTAAGCAAGCCCCAAGACAGTGGTACAAGAAGTTTGCTTCATTTATGATGAATCATGAGTACAAGAGAACTGTTGCAGACCATTGTGTCTACGTGGATGATATGTTGATAGTGGGCCAAGATGCAACGATGATCAACAACTTGAAGAAGGATTTGTCTAAGTTCTTTGATATGAAAGACTTAGGCCAAGCACAACAGATATTGGACATGAAAATTATCCGTGATAGAAAATCAAGAAAATTGTTCTTATCACAGGAAGAGTATGTTGAACATGTGATCAAAAGGTTCAACATGGAAAATGCCAAGCTCGTTGGTACGCCCTTGGCTAACCACTTCAAGTTGAGTAAGAAAATTTTTCCATCTTCTGAGAAAGAAAAAGAAGAGATGAAGGCAATCCCCTATTCCTCAGCCGTAGGAAGTCTTATGTATGCAATGGTGTGTACAAGACCAGATATTACTCATGCTATCGGTGTTGTGAGTAGATATCTAGCTAATCAGGGAAAACAACATTGGGAAGCAGTCAAATGAATACTTTGATACCTGAAGGGTAGTTCGAAACTATGTTTATGCTACGGGGGAGCAAAGCCAATCGTGGAAGGTTATACAGATGCCGATATGGCAGGAGATCTTGATAGTAGGAAATCTACATCAAGTTACATTTTCACTTTGGCAGGGGGAGCTATCTCGTGGCAATCCATGTTATAGAAGTGTGTCGCACTGTCAACAACACAAGCCGAGTATATTGCTGCCGTTGAAGCTGGGAAGGAGCTTATATGGATGAAACGGTTTCTTCAAGAATTAGACTTTCCACAAGAAGAGTACATCATTCATTGCGATAGTCAGAGTGTTATGGACCTGAGTAAGAACTCGATGTACCATTCCCGCACAAAACATATTGATATACATTATCACTGACTTAGAGAAGCAATTGAGGGACTAGAATTGAAGTTGTTAAAGATCAACACCAACAACAATCCTGCAGACATGTTGACAAAGGTGGTGACACAACAGAAACACAAACTACGTGCTGACATAGTTGGGATGAGGATTGTTGGATGGAGACTGGAGGGGGATATTTGTTGTGTTCCAGCCTCCAAAGCCTCCAAAGCTACAGTAGCCATCATTGTTGACAAAATGAAACCTACGGGACAAGTTTTTCTTCCCACCCTATGATGAACACAATTAATGAAGGCAACTACAATGGTGGCTGCCAAGACTATAAATAGAGACTTCATTCTTCAGTTGTATGCATCTCAAACGTAGAGAAACATATAGTATAACACTTAGAGTGAGAGTGTTAGTGAGAGGGTTGGTTTTTTGTAATAGTTGAGTGTGACAGTTACTCCTCCTATTGTAATTCTATTTTAGTGTTTAATAGAAGAGTTTTCCAACCCCAACATATGCTAAAATCATATATGACCAAAGAAAGTCACCAAATTGTTAGTCGAGCAATTAAATTAACGTTTACTCAAAGATTATATGAAAATCCATTAAACTTTATGGAGTTTTGGGTGTCCATGGCTTCCATTGGGACGAATACTTCAACTTTTTAAATTCTTCTAGGGAGTAAGTAAAATAACAATTGGGTGAAAACATTCTTCCAGCCATTATTCCGCCACAACATGGATGGTACGACAGAATTATACTTAGTAAACATTTAGTGCATAGCTCCTTGGATAAATTAGCAGTACACTGTATAGCCCCATATATAGTTTTATTATTAGGCGGATAAGTTATCGTCCCAAATGCAGCTTTTTTAAACTGGGTGTCTCCGGATGCTCCCCCCTATAACTTCATCATCAAATCATACAGACCTTTGTCAAAAAAACCTTATTAAAAATAGTTCCTACACCTGGTGAAAGAATCCAAACCCAATCATCTTTGACTCCAATTATTTTACAATCTGAGTAACATATCATACAATCTGAACCCCACATCACACCTTCCTTTTGATATGGGCATTTGGCTTGAAGTGAAGTAGTCAACTTTGTTATACAATCATTACAGTTTCCACCCCATTTGATTGCAACACCGGAGCAAAGGGCGATAGCATAGGCTGCTTCCTTCACGCCTTGAAATGAACTAAAGGATCCGCCACTATACTTTTTCGCTGTGCCCACAACATTGAATGCGGCTTTGAGGTTTTTGCTATAATCAGAACTTGGTGTGTAGTTGCCTTTGTTTCTGCATCCGAAGACAGGCTCTTCGGGGAATCGAGTTGTGGTGAGATTTACATCGTTGATGATTGATTGAAGAAGAAACACTAATGAAATTATGGATTTCATTTTTTGTTTGTTGACGAAGATAGTAATTAATGCGTGGAGGTTATTGTTCTTATACACCAAATTACCAAAATCAATCGTTGTCAAACGTTAGGCATCGTCAAGTAGAGTACGTATAATTAATATATTTCTTTGGTTTTTGTAAATGGTTAGGTACCTCAAAATAAAGTTGAACTTGTATATGGATTTAATTCTTTAACCAAAGGTGATGGGAGTAGAAGGTTTTTTAATTTATTAATTTAAAAAAAAACTTAAAAATAGGTTGATTTTATTATTATAGGATATAGGGAAATTTTTGGCTGTCCTACACCTAGATATCTCTAAACTATTGAAAAATACATCTTATAGCAAATTTCATCACTAATTGATATTTTTGTCCCTGATTACTTTTTTCTCTCGTTTATCAATTTCCCCTCTCTTTTATGATATCCCCATAATTCTCTAAAACGAAATATTTCTACACTTTAGTTTCTCCCTCAACAACTTTTATGTTTCCTCCCAACTCAAACAAACCACTAAAGCTATAGAGGACGAAGAAGAAAGTGGGTGTACAAAAAAATATTTTGTAGTTCTATTTTAAACAAACAAGATGCAATTTGGATAGAATTCAAATATCAGTGTCTTCTACTGATCAGTTGAAAACATGAGAGAGAGAGAGAGAGAGAGAGAGAGAGAGAGAGAGAGACCCAACAAATGGTTTAGCAATGTGATATTCATAGATTTAAGGACTTGGAAATCAAAGTAGAGGAAGCAAAGGGAACATGGATGAATCTCACAAACCAGTTGTGTAATGAAAATGAAGTTAAATTGATTTTCATGGTATTTATAAGAGATAATGAATAATTTCATTGTTAACTGAGTCATTAGTTTAATAAGAATCCATTAGTTGTATTATGTCGAAGAACTTTTTTCATTACTTTTCAGGCTTTAATTAGCATCACAATAATAGAAACAGCTCACGGTAAAAGAGAAGAAGCAATGGGAAGAAGAAGAATGAACCATCAAAAACTATTGCATTTGGGATTTGAAAGGATAGGTGTAAATCGTTTCCCACTTAAATGAATCATTAGTTTACTAATTAGGTATTTGATGATAAAATATTCTTGAAATACAATGAATGAAAATGTGTTCCTAAAATAGTGACTAAAATTACATCGCTAAATTTGTCGCAACTTTGTCAAAGATTACCCGCTTTGAAAGGAAATAATGATGGAAAATATTGTTGCATTGTGTTTTTATGGATAAAACATAATTTGTTTTTGAACGGCAAGACTAATATTAAAACTAGTGAGAGGCTAGAGGAAAACAAATTACATCCATGACTCGAAGGACAAGTTGCCAAGACCTTTGGCTCTGTACCTAACCCAAGAAAACGAAAAAGATACATCTCTAACTAAATGATATATAACACTAAAGTATGTTGCTATTATATATGCTACTATTACGAATATAACACTAAAGTATGTTGCTATTATCAATAACTAATGAAAATACTTATATTGGTAAAAAAAGTATCTTGCTATTGTGGATAAGAAATTAAAGTACATTGCCTATTCTTTAAACAAGAATAGTAAGTCTTTTGATGGTTTTCTAGGTTATAAACATGAATAATGCAACGAAATCATAATTAAATTACGTGTTCCTACAACCTAAAAGTTTATGACATTTTCTCAAGTTATACCAACATACAATATGAAACAACCATCTAACCTATGTAAATCGAAAATTACAAGTTAGAATACATACCTTAATGCTCAAATCGAATTAAGGAAACAATCATCTAGAAATCTCCTTTGGAAAGTTAGCACCAATAATGTGGATGCCTCTAATGGTTCACATCCAAACCCTAGAAACCCTAGGATCGAAAATCAGGAGAGCGAGGAGGAAGAAGAAACGATTTCTCTTTGGCTTGTGTAGGGATCAATTTCTGCTAGGGTTATGGACCCTATTTATAGCTGGTGGAAACCCTAATTTGAATATTAAAATAATAGAATTTTAAACAAATTGAAATTACTTTCTTTACCAGCTTCATGAGGCTTCGAGAACCCTTTCTGGTCCTCCTCAAAATCGTCCAGGGTAAGGAAGGTTCTGGAATTGCCTTCCTTTATGTTAGGTGTGTCAAACCCAACAAATAATCGGGTACAAAATGACTCCCAATACACTGCTATTTTGCAATAAAGAGTAGTACAAAGTAAGCAGGGTCGATCCACAGAGACATGTGAAAATATTTATAGTTGTTTGCGTAAGGTATTAAAGTGTGACATCCCAGAATTTAGGTCCGAATCTGTAAACGGTTAGTTCACCGCGGACCTTTTTGTATCTTGACTGATTGAATTTTAATGCATATTTTAGTAGAAATATAATGTCATTTCAAATTCGATAAGATATGAAATGGTATCTTATCTCCAATATGGAATATGTCAAACGAATCTTAAAGCACAAACTGTGACTCTAGTTAACGACTGAAAAAACTGAAATTTTGTATTAAGAGTCTGTGAACAAAGAATATATTCTAGACTCGTAGTACCTGTTTCCCTGATCGCGGATATATAAAAACGTGCAAAGCGGAGTTCGTATGCAAAAGATATGACCATTTTAAGAAACCAAACCGATATAACACTGACTTTATCTGATTTCATCAACCGTTTCGATCCATTGAGGCACTTGCACACCTTAGATGGAAGTTTTGAGAGTGTTTTTGGACTCAGACTACGGTCTAATATTTTATTTGCTACTCGAAATATTTTTAGTAAAAATATTTTTTAAAAGTTAGAAAATAAAATGTTCCATACCAATTAGACGTGAAACTTTAAATGCAAATTCCCGGAGTTCTACAAATCAAAAAATTTATTCGTTCGGGTTTTTAGAATCTTCAATTAAAATCTATCAATCGGCACTATCAGAAAAATTACACAACGTCAAGAATTGGACACACAAAATAGAGTTAATGGGATATTATATTTCTGGTCGAAAAGAAAAGAACAAAAAAAATAATAATAATAAGAAGGACCAAAAGGCAGCCATTGTGTTCTTCATCTCAGATCTTTGAATATTGTTTGTTGTCTTTACTCTCAAGATCTAGATCTATTCTTACCATAAAACCTCGTCGGAGAACCAAACAACGTCGCTTGACTTTAGAGATGATGAGACTCTTATATATCTAGTCACATATGATGTTTTATGGTGATTATAGATATGACGTATGTGGTGTACATAAAATGTTTGATGAAATGCGTCAATAAAATTCGGTAAGTCATTAAGCTGTGAATATGTGTTTTTTATGTATTAATTTGTGAATATGTAAGTTATTAAGTTGTGAATGTGTACTTTTTATGCACTAAGTTGTGAATTAGTGTAACGCCCCGTTCCTGGTACATATTAATTCATTAAATGTCTTTTATAAAGAGCTACTCGACGAGTAGTAGCCCTAACTCGTCGAGTAGATGCCAGGATTGGACGCGGGTTTAAGTGACCTACTCGGCGAGTCCGCGTCTTGACTCGACGAGTAGGCCAGTCTGGATGAAATCCTAACCCTTAGGGTTTGTACCCTATTTAAACGTCCTTATAGCCCCCATCCTAGCCTCCAACACCTCTAGAGCGTTCCCCCTCAAAACCCTAGCCCTCCATTTGTGAGTTTGAGTGTTTCCTTCTTGATTTTGAGTGATTTGGTGTATTCTTGAAAGTGTAGAAGAGAAGGAAAGAGAGAAGGTGCAAAGGAGAAGAAGGAGATCCAGAAGCTAGTTTCCATTTGCAAAAGTGGCAAAACAAGCATATATGAAGATCTACTAGGAAAATGAACAAGGTAGAGGCTTTATTACCAGATGAAGCTCCCTTAGGATAGGGAACTATATATCTGGACATCATTGAGCTCCAGGAGCTCAAAGTAGCTACCTTTATGCAAAGCAAGGCCTTGTTCCAAACCCTAGGTTCCCATTTCTAGCTTATTTTGGTGTTTTAGCTTCATACCTCTATGCATGTACGTAAAGTTGGCAACATTACATGTTATATCGGCCCTAGAAGCTCAGATCTATGAATTGGATGCACTGGAATCGATTAGAATCAACTGTATAGTGAAGACATGCATAGGACTCGACGAGTCGTTCATTGGACTCGGTGAGTCGGAGCGCAAACTCCCGATTTCTCGGATTTGAGAGTTGTGAGTTGAATCAGTGAGTGGAAGAGGACTCAGTGAGTTAGGACATGGATCTGGAAGTAGAGGGACTCGACGAGTCTATGCCCCGACTCGGCGAGTCGAGTCGCGAGTTGGAGAATTGTGAGTTAGGGAACTCGACGAGTCCATAGTAGGACTCGGCGAGTAGAGTCAACCTGGAAGTTGACTCTGACCAGGACTTTGACTTTGACCAAGGGGTAAATTGGTTATTTACTCCATGAGGAATCATCAGTTGATTCATAATGTTATGTGATTGTAGTCGGAGAGTCGCCGGAGCAGCAAACAGGGATTTCTCACTCGGGATATCAGCAGCCAGTTATACAAGGTGAGTTCTCCTTCAGTAGGAACGGGTCTACGACACCAAGGCCGGCTTGTAGTATGATATGATAGTAGCTGAGTGTGGGTGGGGACCGTATCCTAACTTAGCAGAGTATGGGCGAGGCTCGTATCTTATAGTAGTAGTTGATTATGATGTATGAACAGTAGGTTAGCTTTACATGTTGTCTGTGTGATACTTGTATGTTAGGTTTAGTAGTTGAGTGTGGGCGAGGCCCGTATCTCATCATAGCTGAGTGTGGGCGAGGCCCGTATCTCGAAGTAGCTGAGCATGGGCGAGGCCCGTACCTCAGAGATAGTGGAGTGTGGGCGAGGCCAGTATCTCCTAGACAGTGGAGTGTGGGCGAGGCCCGTATCTCCTAGATATCGGAGTGTGGGCGGGGCCCGTATCTCCCAGTTAGCGGAGTGTGAGCGAGGCCCGTATCTTCATGAGTGTGGGCGAGGCCCGTATCTCCTAGTTGCATGCTATGTGTAGATGGTATGTGGTAGATTGGGG